CAACGTGGGTCGCCATACCCAGGATATATCCTAGCCTTCGTTCAACGGGATTCGCATCATGGCAAGGTCTCACCAAGGACACCAGTGACTTGGAAAAGTTACCGTCTTCCACGCGCAGTCAGCTCGACCCTACAAGGTTTTGTTGTCCAAGACTTTGAGGCTAGAAACGCCGGGGGCTTGTCGAAAAGTGCCCTCCAATGTTGGCTCTCAGCAGGTTTCACAGCTTTCCATCTTGGCAACAGATTGCACAAGTCTAGACGATCACTTGAGTTCAGAGACATTGCGATCCTCAAAGAATTCCTGAAAAACAGGTGGTTCGGTAAGATGGCTGTCTACAGGACGGATGTTTCAAGGACCGACAAGAACCTGCTGACCTTCTTCGGCCATGTGTACGTCAGGGTATTACCAAACTACTCCTGAACATAGTGTGGAGCAGCTGCCCGCAAATGTCTCAACTAAAGTGTTCTTGTGTCCATGTGAAAACCCGTCGTGGGAATTAGCATCACTTTTTCACTTCAAGTGCGCTCGGATGAGATAGCCAAAAGAACTTTTGATGCTGCTCCAATTCGTTTCCGTTCCTGACGGCCATGTTGGAATGATGCTTTAGTCTGGAGAGTCGCGCAAAACTGATTCACGATGTGACGATGTAGTTTGGTGTGGCCATAATTTCCATAGTTACTGTACATACTGACTATATATCATATATTACTGTCATGATTTGACCTCAAGCACAGCGTGCCTGTGCTGATTTTGCTCATGTCGCTGACACCGGATGAGCCAACTCAGTTTCATCATCTGTTGGCCAAGGCGTCAGCAGGATCCGTGCCACTGTCACTCGCGCTCGAACATCCAGCAGCCAGTCAGGAAACCTAGAAGACTACAGCATCCTTTCGGCGAGCCTATGGGAGCGATGACTGACGCTACCAAGCACCGTCATGCCTGCGCACCCGAAGTCAAGCAAGAGCAGGCACCCAGGATCAATTTCCTATGCTGGCGCTGCTCACACGCCACCGCCTATGACGTCTCTTCGGTGGAGCAGTGGGGAAAGACTGTAGTCCAATTCGGGCACATGTCATATGCAGAGCTCGCCTTGGCCAAAGATGAGACAGCCAAGTCATATTGTGAAATGAGTGACAGCACACCACCGCTCTTCTGCGTGACCTCTAGAGCTTCTTGATTCGCTTTCAAGCCGAGCGTGACATCGCTCATGATATGGCCTGGGATGGACCATGCATTCCTGGCACCGATGTCCATCGCACCTTTAAAGACCAGTGATTGAAAAGGCCAGTGAAAAAGCTTCCATGAATGCCAGCCTCCATTCGTTCATTCACCAAGGGTGCCGCATGTCGTATCGACCGCAGGGACTTCTATCGGCCGGAGCTGAAAAGGAATGCCCATGCGTTTTCGACCGTTCGGAGACGGTCGGCTGGCCCAGTGTTTGGACGTATGTATATAATTACATGTATGTATATGTTTGTTTGATAAATGTGTAATTCGTTGAGATGTATAATGTTCTTACACTCCCATACTCCATTACGCCCTTGCTCGCAGCTGCTGAGCGTTCTTCTTGCGCGGGAGCATGTGCACATGAAGTGCTCCCAGGCCTGTGGAAGGGGAGCAGTAGCCAGGCCAGCGGAAATACTCTGGTGCAATATAGCCCATGCAGGCCATCATGGCCACACGGCCTCGATACGGGCAGGTGCTCTTCCAGCACTCACTGTCTGCTGGTCCCTTTTTGTGAGGAGAACACAGCCGACTCATGTTTGTCGTGTGGCCTTTTATAGAAACCATGGGAAGGCCCCCGGAATGCGTTTGGCGTTCCAATTTCCATTAGGCCACACCAATGAATGTCATTTGGGGTCCCCTCATATGTAGTTACTTTGTTGTCTCGTTTGTTGCGGCCTCTTCGAGGATGGGGACTGATCCCACGTTGAGACAGGCCAAGAGCTGGGCTCTCATGCCGAGGCACCGTTCTTGATCTCAGCGATCCTCCTGCGTCGGAAGGTTTCTTGATCCCCGTCCTGACGAGAACGCACTCGACGGCCGGACCCTCGGTGGGGAAGGGGCCACTGACCTTGGGACTCCTTCGGAAGCGTCCAATGGGCGGTCGATCGATGTCAATCGTCATCCCGGCATCCCGTTGTCGTTTTCGAAGGCGTCGCCGGAGGGGTAAACTCCCGGGCCTAATTCAATTGACGATGCCAAGAAAGAATGCTTTTCGCGCCTGAAACCCCCTCGTGGGGTCCATGGTGGTGGCGGAATGTCTCTGATCTGAGTAAACAAAAATGAGTGTGCCTTAAAATTCTCAAAAAGAACCGTGTCTATAATTGTTTAGAACCAAGGGGCCAGCCTGTTTTCCCATCGGAGTCCCAAACCTTGACCTGCTTCACTGGGCTTCACGGGGCTGAAAAGGGCTTCAACATGCCACACATACACACATACCATTTGGTGAGCAAAAATCACTACACTCCCTGAAATCATCATGCTAAGTGGATGTCACCACCTGTGTTTGGTCTTCGGAAATCGGGGCCATGCCATCCCATCCACGTTGGGCTCGAACGAAGGGCCGTGCAAATGCATGGCATGCAACAACAAGGTTCGTAAAAAGCAAATGCCATGAGCTGAAAAGCAACTTAGACAGTTAATAACATATGCTAAAAAATAGCCCGCAAACAAATACTATAAAGGTACAATAAAGGTACTAACTTTCAAGGTCTTTTGGATCGGTGGAATTCACTATGAATCACAATTTTCATGTGTGGCTCGTAATTCACCGTGAACTGTGAACCCATCGAAAGAAGGTCGATCCTTGGCCATTCCCAGAGGGTCGAAGTACTTGAAGGGCAAAGTGGCGCCCATCTCATTCTCGAAAGCCTTGCAGGCCTTGGGAACTGTTTGCGAGATGTGCGCAGAAAAGTTCTGCAGAACCACTCCACTCTTACCTCAACCATCCTCAACCCCTCATGTCCATACAAATCTTCTAACCCACGTTAAACAAGCCTTGTCATTATACAGTGGGAACCATCGTCTAGACTCTAGACTTGCTGAGTTGCTGCTTTCCTACGCTTCAAGCTGCTGGCTGCGCTCGCCACCAGCGCTGCCCCACAAAGACTGGGCAGCACAGTGCCACCCGACGTGGAACGCTGTCCCACACGTTCAGCGCCACGGAGCAAGGCAGGGGAGGCTGGGGCCTCCCGCGCGCGTCCGTGTGACATGAGGGTTGAACTCCATTCAAGGGGGCCAAGAAACATCGTTCTTCCTGAAGCACAGCAAGAAGCTAATAGGTGGAGGCCATCGCTACTGGGAGCAAGAAGCTACTAGTAACAAGGAAGCACTCCACTTCTCCCCTGGCGGGTTTCTTCCACTTGACCGCAAACGCTCGGCACCTCCGTCGCACCGCTGGAGGGCACAAAGGCTTCGCGGCAAAGGTAGGCGGCGCTAGCAGCCGCCGCCATCAGGCCCATTGACTTGGCCTCGGGAGAGGGACGGGGGGCCGGGATGTGGTTGATGATACTTCCAAAATGTGAGGAACGGATTGGTTCAACAAGTTCATACCTGATTTGGGGAACCTACAGTTCTTGGACAGTGCCGGTTGGAAGAATGGATCCTCTAATTTTTGGAGATTTCGGAAGTTCCAGATACACCAGTGTTCAACTGAATAAATGTTGGGGCCTTTTGGTTGGAGAAAACTGACAGTCACAAGGTTTTGACGGGTTTGATGAGCTTTCCCCAACACCTCTGGGCACCTTCTAAGAAGCTGTTCCCCAACCTGCTCCTGGTCCAAAGGGCACCTGATGTGACTTGGAAGACACCCCAAAGCGCGCTGACTGATAAAGCATCACCAATATAGTCCAAAAAACGAACAAGTTATAATGTAAATTATGTATCCATCACATCAGAACATCATACATGTTACATCGTGATCATATGAATCATATCAGTGACCATGTGTGTGTGTGTGTTTGTTTCTCCAAAAGCATCCAACGGAGTCACGAAATCCGCCTGCCATTAATGCGGAACCACCCTCTCGTCCTAGAATCTTCCAAAACCTGAGCTTCCCGGCCATGGCTGTTTGACGTAAAAAATAATCTATGCTAAAAACGTAGCCTGCAGTTCGCGGGGGCGGCTCTTGAGCCGGTACGGCCATGAGTCACCAGCGATCGCTTGGCCGAGTGCAGCGGGAGCGAAAACGTGCGTCAAGGCATGTTCGTCAGTTAGGATTCAACGGCCCAACACGAAGTGAATCGTGAAAGTAGTAACAGGTGCCTTACTAGTAGTAACAAGAAGCTAGTAGTAACAAGTGCCACGCTAGTAGTAACAGGTGCCTTACTAGTAGTAACACGAAGCTATTCAGTTATATTGCAATGGTGTCAGTGGAATTACTGTATAGAGCCGCAGCGAACACGAACACAACTGGTGGACTGGTCAGGTGATGTCAGGTGGGTCACGAGGATATCCATCACTTCTTGACCTGGCCTGACATGACCGCGTGCCTCTTGGACCTCTTGGACCTCTTGGACCTGACATCGGATAGAAGCGCAGGAAGTGCTGTTTCCGAAACAGACCCCACCGGTCGGGCGAACGCCCTTTTCTGCAGCACTCCATCTCTCCAATCCTCTGCCTGTCGTGAATGGGCCAGGTGGCAACACCGGGAATCCCACCCCTCGTGGCTTCATTCGGCTGCGTGAAAGAGTGGAAGAATCAAAATGCTACGAACAAGCCACGCAAAGCGCGTGGTTGTGTGTGTGGTTGTGTCATCCCTTATCGTTGCACTTATCCCTGGAATTCCCGCGCTTGTTGTATCGCCACAAGGGGTCACCAAGTGCTTGCAGTTCTGACGATATACTTCAAGGATCTTCTTCGACCTGGAACCCCTACAGCAGAAGAAAAGACTCGTGTCACAGTTCCAAGCTGAACAGCTTCAGCCTTTCCCCCAAAAAGAGTTCCACTCCACGAAGTGCCAGCAACCTCCACGAACCAGGCCTCCCATCGACTGGGCCTTAGGCTGCTGGCAGCCACATGGCCGGGCCGGTGGTGCCCACAGTGCCATTCTGAAAGAGCATCGCCATCAAAGCCACCATGGCCTGGCGAGGTGGCCATCGTGATGTCTGGAGATGGCTCAACTCATGGCATGGGCCTGGTGTGGGTGGTGAGGCAAACCTGGGAGAATCCGCAGTCTAGGGTGGAAATCATAGAGCTTCAAGGGGCCTTTCTTAGCACAGTTGGCCCCAGATATCAACTCCATACGATTCTTCTCTGTGTGTCTGTATGCATACTCAGTAATAAGAGTGAGAGAGAGAGAGAGATGCGCATCGATTTGATGGTCACATCACACAGCAAAGTAGAGAGTAGAATTGGCAATGTCTAAGTCTAGGTATGCCTCTCCCACCTCCTTCTTCTGGGGTCCAGTGGGCCCCGCTGGGAACCGGCATAAAAGGCTTTCATTCACAGCCGACAGCTCCGACACCTAGTTACTAGTCTTCTCTGATCCTGTCCCACTCTTCTTGAAGAAAACGCTCTGGTGAGGGAAGCAACCAAGCAATTAACAAAGACGTTCGGGCTGGTGTCCCAGGGTCTGGGGATTTTCATACTCCCTCAGGGAACCTAGCCCTCACCTTGAGGAGCTTGGCCATATGTGGATGGCAAAGCCAGATTTTGGGGTACCCTCCATCCAACTATCATGGACGTGGATGGCACTTGGAAGGAAACTGTCTTCTACAAACCAAGGGGTGTCCACTTCCATGATTGATGGAGGGGGTCTCTCAAACGATCCTGTTTCTCTTTGCTGCGGGCGAACTCGTCAACCCCAGACCTACCCACATGATAGACCTCCAGTTCGATATGGAGACTCGCGCAAAGAAGACTGGTTGGTGGTTTCAACCTTGAAAAAAAGGAACAATAAAAACATCCCAGGTAGAGGTTGAACGACAAAACTCTTGGAAACCACCAAACTAAACATGGCCCAAGTGACCAGTCGGCCGTTCGCAATCTCTGCGCGGAGCTTGGTCTTCTTCACCTGAAAGGGTGTCCCGCAAGAGGGTCCGGACAAGCATCCAAAGCCAGATGGAGTGAGTGGTTTCATGTCCTCCAGAAAATCAATAACTGATCCATTCATAAGTGGTCTGTTCTCTCCCAAGTCTGGGCAGGCCTTCTCTCATCCTGACCCGCTTTATCCCAAGTACTGGATCCGTCCTAACAGATATAAAGAATGCAAGTCTAGAGTGGATCTATGCTGCACCGCCAAAGAATCCTGTCTGACAGAGTCCCAGTGCCCCCCCGGCCCATGCCCAAGCGCGGCCTCAGCATCCTTGAACTCAATGGGCTCGAAGTTGAAGATGAAGTTCTTGCCCGTGCCCAAGAAGCCGTAGCCTCTCGCTCTAGCTCCCACAGGTTCCCACAATGGCTGAAGTCCCATTTTGAGGGGGGGGTGGCGCCAAGGCACCACCCTAAAACGATCTCCTCAGCCCGCCCAAGCACCACCCATGAAACCCCTGAAACCGCGAGGCGCCTTCATAGTCGCCTGGGGCGCGCTTAGGGTCCTGGCGCCAGAAGTAGCCCTCCATGTGGCCAATGAAGAGCGCAATCTGAACCCAGCCCTCCAAGGGCACCTGTCATCCGAGGAGATCCCTTCGTCGAAAACAATATATATATATATAGTCATATAGTCTGTGCGTGTATCTTTGTTGAAATTCACTGGGAGCGAAATCGGGGTGCAGGAGTTTGAGAGAGGCACTCACAGGGCTAAGGCGGCAAAGGCGCTCAGTCCTTCTTAGGACGATCTGGCATATCCTTTTTTAATGGTTGCGTGGTGGCCGGCTCGAGCTCAGACACCAAGTGGAAAAGTGCGGCGACATCGAACACAAAGTGTCCACTGTCTTGACCGACATCCGATGGAAACCTCCGACCTCCGACCCGATTGGAAGACCCGTGGAGCATGTCGCGAGTCGCATCGCGCCTTGGAGACCGCGGCGATGCCGTGGGGCATGTCGGCGAACTTGATGCCCTTCTCCGGAGACAGGTAGCCAGGCCAGCGGAAGTACTCCGGCACGATGTAACCCACCTGAGATCACCGTGGCGCCCGGGTTCAGGCCAAGAGGCTCAGAAGGTTTTTTTTTGAGGAATTGACAGAAGATAACCGACCTCAAGAGAAGAAGACGATGTTCGAGGCTATGGAGATATATTAGATATCATGATATGTGATGATACATGGATGCGGAGATATTCTGCCGCATACGACCCACAAAGGATTCAAGAGTAAGAAGGAATGACAAACGACCACTGTCATAGAAATTAACAATGAATCGTTCAAGGAATAAGAGGAAATCCCGAGTTTGGGTTAAAATCTGTTAGAATAATTGAACCTGTCATAGAAATGAATGGTTTCTGTGTTTCTCCACCTCTTCATACCCACCTCTTCACCGAAACACCTCTCCAACCAGGGGTGGTCAGGGTCTGAACCACCCTTTCTACACCGTCTTTGGAACATGGCGGGTAAGGTACTCCCACCCTGCAGACTCCCACCCATTCCGCGATACGATACCTGCACATATATGGCTTTTTCTCGTGCTCCAAAGGGGGTGGGTCCATTTATAGCAACAAAGTCATCAAGCAGGCTAGAGGTAAGCTTTAAACAGTTAATCCGTTAATCCTGGTACCCCATCGAAGGTGTCACACACTGTGTCACACATGATCGCCTGTCGTCTGATGTCGTCTGCACAGCTCTGAACAAAAAACACGGTAGGAGCAAAGGACGCTACTAGGGGCTCCTGGCCTTACTACTAGTAGCAAGAAGCTATTAGAAACAAGAAGTACAGTAAGTAAAATTAGAATTATATATATAATTAGAATTACTATAATCTAATTCATCGCACATGCTCACAGATGATCACAAATCCATATATTAGATTACTATCCAACCATGCTGTCCACATGTCTTGACAAATTAATCCAGGTATGTCAAAAACAGACTCTTGTCGACCCCCTGCACTTCAAGCCTCTCTAGCTCTTGCCTGGCTGCAATAAGAAGTACTCTGAGATACTCTGAGTATGTCCTACCCTATACCTATCGAGTCTTCTTGCTGAAAATGGATCCCGAAAAAAAATAACTGAAAGCATGTGTGACCGACCTCCCATAGTGGATTTGTTTTGTTTCTCGAGGCTCCCCCCATTTTGGAACACCTCGCGGGCTCCCTTCTTTGACACGACCAATGGATCACGGTCGTCTCCGATCCATGCGTTCCCAAGCAACAGACCGTCACAGACCGTCACGGGTCGAAAAATGTCCAAAGCATTGGACTCTCCCTGGGATTCCAACCACCATTGACTTGATGGCCTTTAGGCCTTTACCGAACAGCCATTGGTTTACTAATGGGATTTAGATGGTTTTAGACTACAAAACCAGGTCAACCATTTTCAAGTTGTCTTGAAAGGCTAGGGCTCTTACTCCACAAATCATGCTCCGCTGTTCGCTTCGGTCGACCGACATGTCATGCATCCAAAGGGCGCAGGCCAACATGCCTGGGTCGCCGAAGCATCGGAACGCGTGTTCGGCGTGTGAAGCTTGAGGTTCTCAGCAGAAATCCGTAGCTTGAGGTCCCCAATTTTGTGCAGAACATGATAGAAGTGTGTTCACTATCCGAAATGAGAGGGGACCTACTTGTTCTATCTTTTTCTTATCTGGGGTCACTAGTAGTAGATCCTAAATCACAAGGCTACGATCAATTGATCGAGGGGTGGCATTGGCAGAATTGTTGGAAAACGGATGGTCATCTTCGTGGGAGATTCGACGAGCATCGACATCCATGTCTGATTTGTCTATTGATGGTAAGGGATAGAAAATCCATGGAAGGAAAATCAGGGAAGTATCCATCACTGATGTTCTAGACATTTATTGATATATTTTTTGGCGTTAATGTCAGTAATTTTGGTACCCAAGAAATCCCTTTAAGAAAAAAGCACAAGTATAAAGGAACTTGCCAATGGTGGATGTTCAATATCTTCATCTCTCATATTATTGGACATTAGCTACAGGATGCTTTGAGATTAGAAGAATCCTGGAAATCCAGTTTCTGGTTGCCCCCCCCTTGCACCTGGTCAAAAGAACCAAGGCCTGGTCCGACGTCTGTTCAGAGAAAACGCTGTGTATCGCTCCTGATCCAAATCGCAAAGCGCTTTCTGGTGTCCTTTTAGATCCTTTTAGTAACATTAACATGTCTTATAGCAAACTTGACATCCAATTTGATTGCGTGGCATTTTAATTTGCTAACCACACTTGCTTATCCACGGGTTCTCAATTAATGTTTTTGACTGACGACTTCGGCACAACTTCCACGGAAGCTGGGAAGCTGCCGAAAGGAAGCGGCCGACTCGGTCCCTGACATCGTCGATCCAACATGGCCCAGTCGATGTTCATTGAAAGGGGTACCAGGTAAGAAACGACCACAAATCCCAGGTCCGATCTTCCGCGTCTCCACCATCGTCTCCCGTCTCCCGTCTCCACCGTCTTTAGAAAAGAATATGACCAACGCTGCTCTTCTACGCCGTCCGTCCGTCGTCTTCGGACGAAGGAAACGACGGACGGAGAAAACCGCACGAAACCCTCGTGGCGCCACGTCCCGTCTTTGTAGTAACAAGTGCCACGCTAGTAGTAACAGGTGCCTTACTAGTAGTAACAAGAAGCTAGTAGTTAGCGTCCTTGTTACTAGTAGTAAGGCACTTGTTACTAGAAGCGATGCACTTGTTCCTAGTAGCTTCTTTGTTACTAGTCGTGCTGGGCGCCCCTGACAGATGCGTCCATGCTTCAGCTCGACCGCTCGGCGGCGCTTGAAGGCCTCGACCTCGCTGCCCAGCCCTCAGCCTTTCCCTTCCTGAAGCCTCCCCTTCTCTAGCCGTCCTTTTTGCAGTCTTTCCCCTCCTTTTCCATGACAGCCTCAGAACCTGATGATTCTGTGACAGTGTGCAGCAAAGGGGGCAAACTGTGGCAAATTGGCCTAGAAAGGCTAGCGGCATGACCATCCACAAATTGCAGCGAGTACCTAATTAGCCAAACCAACAGGCCTTTCGCACTGCTTGAACCGGTCAGAGGACTCTCTGCTGCGGCTTTGACCTGTTTCACCTCATCGTCCCCCAGATCTGCGCGTCTTCCCGCGTCCCACCGATCTGCCCAGCTGCGTCGCCGTCCGCGGAGAGGCCCAAAGGGTCCCAGTAGCCCACCGGCGCCTGGACGCCCAGCTCACCTCACACACACGGAGGAAAGAATGGGCGTCGGCGGCGATGGGCGAGCTCCAAATGGGCGAAGATTCAGGCCACCTTGGGGCGCCCCGAGTTGTTTCTCAGAAGCTAGTTAGACCATGACCCTCTAAATGCACCCTGAACACTATCGTAAACACCTTTGAGAGGTTGTTGGAGCCCGAGGGTCCAGCTGTGCAGCGAAAATGTCCCCAAGGCCGATGAGCCAAGGTTTAAGCCTCGAGCCTCGAGCTCCAACACGTTCCAGCCAGCAGATAGTGGCTTTAGATGAGACGACCCATCGGGAAATATCGGGTACCCATCTGCTCACATGTTGAGCTGCGTAGAACCTACAAATGGATTGGTTTCTAGCCACAGAATAAACCACACCCATTACTTCAATTGTAATTATTCACGAAACATAAATCTATACATATTGACTCACATTCATACAGATTTTAGATATTATATTATATTATGATATAATAAGAGGCCGTTTGAACATTTGCCACCCGACTTCCTTCGGTCCCACGGTGTCTTCTGCGTCCGGTGATCCGGAGAACTCGTGCCTTCGAAGGCGGAGGCCCCGGGGAGCCACATGTCCGCGCCAGTGGTGCCGAAGAAGGCGTTCTGAGAGATCATCCCCGTGATGGCCACCATAGCCTCAGGGGACATTTGGGAGGGGGGGGCGCCCAGAAGCGCAAGAAGACGACTCACCCAGCGAGCCAAAAAACTCACAAGGGTGTAGCGGGTCGTAGCGGTGGATGTCTTGATCTTGTCACTCAGCGTTCTGATGCTTTCTGTGAAAGATTGCAAAAAAGATCAAAAAAGCTTGGTCAAATTCCTGGGACAGGTTGACCAGTTCTGCCTCCAGTCCCTTCTCCGAGAAACCCGGGATTCTTCCAGGAAGCCCTGCAAAAGTGGTGTCATCCAAAGTCCCAGCCCGACCAGCCCGGTTCTTTCTACATTCTGTTCTTACCCTCCATGAAACAATCGAAGTGGAAGACATGACCCCTGGAAGGACCAGCCCAGCCTCCGGCCCAACCGGGGATTGTCCACTGGGTCGTTCTTACGAACGGGTACACGTCTGAAGAAACCCAAACACGGGAAAGCTCCAGTGACATAACCCAGTGGATCCCAGGCAGCCAGCGTTTCATCTAATTAAGGAACATGAAGGAAGCAAAGGCCATCGTTCCATATTGATGGTTTGTGTTGAGTAGGTTGGAGGCCATCGCTCGTAGGTTGAACTGGAACCATTGGCACTCCCAGCGACATCGTGGCATCGGATTCGGCGAAGTCGAATAAAAACTATTCCTACTGTCGTTATAACTGGTTGTGCACCGACCGTCCCGACCATCCCGACCGTCCCGACCATCCCGACCGTCCCGCTAGAATCTGATCCCAGACGCTGATCCCTGACGCTGATCCGGCGAAGTCGAATCTGATCCGGCAATTACCCGGGCGATGCCGTGGGCGCTGCCATCCGACCAGTCTTGACCGAGCAGCCAGGCGCCCGTTGTTGATCTCGGCCTCCAAGGAGCGGCGATTCGCCTCAGGGTCCTGAGCAGCGAGGAAAAGGGTGCAACCACGGCCTTCTTGGTCATTCATTGAGTTGATGGCTTGAACATGATTCAAATATATTGAAATATATAATCACCTCGTTGTCTTTCTCACTGGCTGGATCTTGACCAGGCTGATGCGGGTTAAAAAATGAGGAAGATCATGAAAGCCAAGCGTGGCAGGGCTGCACGCAGAACACAGGTGCAAAGGTAGAAACCCAGTATGATGTCGTTAGGTCTATCCTAGGCAAAAAGTACATTCAACCTCTCCACGGCCAAACGCACTTTCTCTCACCACGGTGGTTTGGGGTCATCTGGGGATCAATGATCAATCCTAGTTGTCGATCATGCCCACTTCTTGCTGGTGCGTTTGGACCCCTTGCCAGCTTCGCCCCCTCAATCTCGCCTGATCCACCTTCGAACGCCTTGCCTTGCCCAGCTGCCCATCTTGAACCACACAAAAATGGTCCCAAGCCAAGACACGGCCTTGGTCGCGAAGGGCAAGCCCAGCTTGCCGAAGCCCGGGGCATCCCCTGGGATGCGGTCCTTCTCCTGCCTGGGAGTCTTCGCTTGCGCGTTGGAGCGGGTGCTGGAGTGGGGTCTGGAGTTGGTCGTTTATGTGTTGTCCCACAAGTGTGCTTGTAATTAGTATGTACTCTCATACACCCAAAGAGGCAAAACCAAAAAGAGAAAACATGAAGCCTTCCATGACAAGTCCTTTGATCTCTAGGCTTTCCTCAAACCCTGCGCTCCAAAAGGGTTGCTGGACCGTTCGCGCCGTTCTTTGCCGATGCTTCACCGATGCAGATCCAGCCATGTTCCAAACTGGGTAAGCGGGTGATGCGGATCCTCCTGGGACACCTCTCTCATCTTAATGTCAACGCTTGAGTAATAGTAATCAATTGGATTGAAACAGCTCCTTCATATGGAGGTTTCTATGAAAGTCTACTAAGTCTACATGATCTCGTCTTATCTCTTCCTCTATCGTTTGCCCTGGCCGTTTGCCCTGACCTGCAAGGAAAGAGCTCCAAGAAGCCAATGAAGACGGCGATCTGGGCCCAGGCCTTGGGGTGAGGTGACAAGACCGATGGGAACCGGTCTGAACACCCGTGGGATCTTGTGGGTATAAACGGTTCACATAACATCAGGCAGTAGCACAACTCATAAATGTGTTACAAGTGTTCCTCATACACCTGTAGATGGGAATAGAAAAGGACACATTGTCTGTTGTTGCCTCAAGGATGTTTAAGAGCATCTGTCGAAACAGCCATGTCCCAACATGCAACATTGTCGCGCAGCAAGCACTAGCAGGCCTCGGCTGGCATCTTGTACAAGGCTTGGATGCCGTTGGGGATGTCGGCAAACTTCAGATCTGGCACAAACCACACTCGTGATGAGAGTTGGAAACGGGAGGTCAACCTCCGAAAATGTCGACGAAACCCCAGATGCCCCCAATGAGCACGATTTGTAGTTTTGTGTTGCATCAAACTCAAACATGAAACATGGCCCCTCTGCCAAGGAGGCTGGTCTTGCATAGGTCCATGTTCCAGCCTGTGTTAATAGATTCAGGTGTCAATGGCCAGTAGAGTGTACTCCAACAATGAATGGATAGTTAAGCCTCCCAGCCGGTGTTTCCTAAGTGCTGTGTTTGGCAGCTGAGCCATGGCCGAAGCTTGTCTGAAATCTCTAAACAAGAAATCATGTACTACTAGTAGCACAACCGAGGAGGTCTAATCTGAACCGTCCGTCGGTAGAAATAAACGAAATCACTTTGTTGGACAACCGGTGGACACCACCGATGACGGGAGCCACTTGGCAGCTGGGCCCTTACGTTCTTGTTCATTCAATGTGTTGTTGTTGGCAGTTGAATGATTGCTTCTCTCAGCGCTGTTTAAGCCCTAAGCATTTGGACCCTTTTCGCCCCGATGTCACTGTTCGCCTCATCGTCTTTTCCGACCCGACCTGCCCCGTCCCTTGTTCTGCCTTGGCACTGGCATCATCCCCCGCCCCCGCCTTTCCTGACCACATTGACACATGACCCATTCATTGGTCCCTTGATGGTCAATGAATTTCGTTCACCAAAGTACACCCAACTCAACGACCCCTTCTATCCAAGTCAAGTCAACGGCCCCTTCACATGACCTGCGGAGGGGGAGCAATAGCCCGGCCAGCGGAAGTACTCCGGAACAATGTAGCCCATGCAGGCCCACATGGCAACTCGGCCTCGATGCCGGAGGGCAACTCCGGCAGATGTGTCACCGCGGTTTCATCATCACTTGATGAATTTAATAGACCCCCCCAGGCCCAGGACTGGAGATTTAAAAAACGAACAAACGATTCTGGACACTGCCGACGGGTTGGTTCTACTATACAGTCTACGACTACAGTCTACGTTACCCTTTTTGATCCTTGTTGTAACATACATAGCATCGAATTTCAACTTCTGTCCAGGCTGTTCTGTTGATCTTTCAAAGCCGGGCTCTTCCCATCGAGGGGGTGGTGATCTAGGGGCCGCTATGTAACACCGGTCTAGGCGTAGGCCATGTAACGCCGGTCTAGGTCCTTTCGTGCTCTCGTAGGGTGATCTTCTCTGCCACAACCCTCGAAGTCCAAAGAGCTACAGTAGGCACCACCGAAGTAAAGGACATTGAGCATTTCCTACAATAGTCCACTCCGTTCCGTGGAATACCGCACGGAACGCCGCCTCCACGTGGTCCGGAACTCCGAAACGACGGAACCACCCGACGGATCCAACGAAACCCACCGACTCGCAGCCGACGAGTGCTGCGCCCAGGTGCCATTCTTGATCTCAGCGATCCGACGACGGCGGAACGTCTCCTGGTCGCCGTCCTGGCACGGCGGATCGATAGACGTGCAAAGCTTCCGGATCAATAGACTGCCCCGTGGCGCGCGATCGGGTTCACATCTCGTCAAAGACCATGGAGATGCGCATGGACAGTCGGATGTTCTCTAGTTTCGGCCTCTTGTGCGCGTTTCGTTCGATCATGGCATGACGTCGGCACCCCGTCAATTACACCATTGCATCGGCACCCCAAACAAACAAGCGGGCAAACGTCTGGCCCTTCGACCGAGTATAGCCGTATAGCTCGAAAGTCCCTGGTTGGGAAAGAATCTATCCGAATCCGATGGCCGTGGGGCCGTGGGGAGAGATGGAAGGAGAAAGGTCGACTCCTGGGAGAAAGGTCCACACCACTCGTCTTCCTGGTCCCTGGCACCGCGCTCCTTGGCCATGCCCAAAGGGTCGAAGTACCTCCGGCGTACGGAGGCTGGGTGAAGGGGGAGGTTTTGATGTGTCTTGGAACTTGGAGATTCCCAAGTTCCAATGGTCTTCGTCTATGTGACCTCTTCTGGGTCTTTGGTGGTCTCCTTATAAGGTCCTTAATTCCAATACAAAACCATGTGTTTTTGGCTGGGTGGGTAGGTGGAGTGAACTTTGCCGCTCTTCAGCCTTTGGGCCACCTCGGGAATGTACAACCAAGGTGCTTGAAGGGCAGCGTCGCACCCAACTCATTCTCGAAGGACTTGCACACCTCGGCGAGCTCGGTCTTCAAGGCACAGATTGTTGTATCACAGGTGGTGGAAATGACCTACCTACGAAATTCCAACAACATTGAATCATTGCCGCATAATTTTGCTGTATGTTGCTCTAGAATTTCTTTCGCACCTCAACCTGGTTTGCTGATCGTGAAAAACCGCCAGAACGGCAGCAATATGGGTGTCATCATGTGTCATTTCTCTTGAGTGGTGAGAGTCAACTAGTAACAAGAAGCTACTAGGGGCTCCTGGCCTTACTACTAGGAGCAAGGACGCAAGAACCACATGGATTTTGCACCTCACCCCATCTCTCTTTCCTTCGTCTCACGCCCAGGCACCACAGCCGCTTTCCGGGTACGGGGTACGACAGCCACGCCGCCCGCGGCGGCCAATGCCCCAGCGGCCGCCACACCCAACACCGCGCTGGAGGAGAGGCTGCTGTGGGCAGTGCGAAGCTGCGAGGTGGGTGCCTGGTGAGCTAAAATACTCGGATTCCGCCAGTGTTGGAACCTACGGGTAACCCAACATACGAGTACCTACGAGTAGCTCGCTGGCAAACGCCAGCACTATTCCAACCCTTACATCAATAGACGTTTACGTGTATGTATGTATATATACTGTATATGTATTATATTGTATACAGACTTGTATACAGTATACAGTATATTAAACTCTAAATTTGGTATATATAGCTACATCTGAAGATAAATATCATCCCCAATCACCAAGTTTCAAACAAAACATACAAAAACACACATATTATGCTTGTTGATACCGTTGTTCGGGACGCCATCCAGGGCCCATGTACGCCCGGGACCGCCTGAGCACGTGCCACACCAGTACCGGGCACAAAGGCTTCGCTGCAGAGGTAGGCGCCAGCGCCGGCGGCGGCCAGGAGGCTCATAGGTTTCGCCTCGGGGGGTTCGCGTTTGTTGAGGAAGGGTTAGGGACCCGTTGGGGAGGTGTTTTTCTTTCGGAACTGTGATACTGAACCAAAAGACACAAATGATACAGGTCCTTTGAACCGGAAACATCGAAGACAGCGTCGTGCATGTATGATCATGTATGTGTTTTTGGTGTCTCGAGATTCACCTGCAAAAAGAATGTTGTCTTCCAAGTGAGACTGTTTGTTTCTGTTTTTGTGAACATGTGTTCACCGTGGTAAATTCAACTGCAGTCGTTGGAACTCTTTCGCATCGCAAACATTCACCAAGACAGTTGAGGATCCGGCCATTGGAAACCAAGAAAAAACGTCAGTGGCGCCCCTCGAGTCCAAAAAACTGAGCCACCTTCTGCGAGATTTGCATAGGTTCAAGCAAAAGTGCGATGTGATTCAGTCAGGCATGAATGTTATATAAATGAGTTGTGTCACGTCCTGCCCCCCCCTTCGTGTATGTTCAAACACCGATCAGGAACGGGAATTCGGATCTGCATGAATCTTCATGAGAAGGACTGCAGCCTGGTGCTGCTGAGCAGAATTGAAGCAAAAGGCCTGTGGCCTTGGACTTTCTTCCATCTTCTCAACCCCTTGAGGCACTCACCAACAACTGGCCGGAGGAGTACTCCAACATCACCCACCTTGCCTGATGAGTCGCAACGTTCCAGTCGTTCAAGCTCTTGACTTGCCTACACGTTCCAAACACCTCACCAAACCCCACGTGGATCCTTAACGATCCATGATCCAATGTCGACCCATTAGCAATGGTCAAAACAATGAATACAGCATAAATATCCATAAGTTAAAGCTACGTACATGTTGTTCAGATTCCTTGCTAAATCTAAGTTCAATCCATAACTAAGGCCAAAACTACCAATACTAAAACAGTATTTGAGACTGGCCCCACCAAACCTGGACCCCGCGACTGGACCCAGGACTCACCAACCATGCTCCACAAAGGCCCATAGAACTCCATCCACTCCTCGTCATGCTCCATCCAACAGGTACCCTCCAAGTGCACCCGTCGAGCTGACGCCTCAGCCGCTGTGACAGCCGCATCACGCGGCACATGGCGGGGCCGAGTGGGGCATCAGGCAGACGTGGCAAGTCGGTCTTCGGCCAAGGCACTAAGTCATCCCATTTGACGAAGTCGCCCTCAGCAAATGAAGAAACGTGACGAAACCGTGAAGAGACATGCGTGGCCAACAAGAACAGCAATCTCTTGAGACTTGAGAAGCTTGGCTCCTGCCTGCGGCTGTGGAAGCTTGATCACGCCACTGGCGTCCTGACGGCTCGGACCAGGGTCAGGGGGTCCAAGTCCGACGCATGTCGTTCACAACCCATCTCTCTGAGCTATGTCATTCTCGTCGCGAGAGATCCTAAGGTTTCTTGCGTCAAGACCCACCTTGCATTTCGTGAATAAACCAAGGGTGCAAAACAGCCTGCATGATCACAAAATAGTATAATATTGTTTTTTGTTATCTCTTTGTTTCTGTGTTTATGTATTTTTGTTTGTTATATACAGATATGTATGAATGTCTTTCGCTGACCTTTCAGACGGCCCGGACAGAACTGCGCTGCGGTCCTCGTAACATCGGGTGGTCTCATAGAAGTCCTCCGTGACCTGGCCAAAAAAAGGGCGCCGGACGGCTGCCTAGCTGCGTGGGGCAGCCATGGCCCAAAGGACTTGGTGATGAATGTTGGGTAGCTAAACAGAAAACAACATAAATATGAAGTTCATGGAGGCTCCTGGAAGGGAGGATGTTCAAAAGTGAGGGAGCAAAGCACATGGTCTGCAAAAGTCTCGAGCAAGGAAACGTTGGCAAGATGCCTACGGGCCTACAATAAAGGAGAAAACACTTTTGGCTCTACCAGTTGGGACGCACCTGTACCCTAACAAGGTGCAAAGTGTAGAGGTTCTTGTTAATCTCCCAGACCACTTCCAGCTCACTTGGTGGAGAATCGTTCCAATCTATGCCTTCATCCAACTTCCAAAAAGGATAAGTAGACACACAGCCTGTGGTCTCCAAAAAACCTTCTTCCCAACGGGGCCCCCCGAGAGTTGCATCTGTCCGTCCCCAGTCGGTGGACCGGATCGGCCTGCAAGAAGAAGTGAGGCCGGCATGGGTACCGATGCCCATCCTGCAGGTGGACCACATCCCCGACGTCGACGTCGGAGAGGGGGGGAGAGATTTTATCCAGTTGTAGACCACCCAGTTATATATTATATATGTATATTGTATAAATGTATATATATATCATAAGGTAGATTTATAATTTAAAAGATTGATCTAAAATAGGGAAACGGTGTTTGCTCTTCCTTGAATTTCACCTGCCTCCCACACTTGCCCAAAACCCCAGTCCCGATCATCCGCCGGTGACGTCTGTCCTACCGTCCACCCCAGCTCCACCATTGCCACCGATGGCTCCTGCTCCAGCTTCACGAAGCTACACACCGATGGCTCCTTGCAACATCACCATCCGGGGGTCGCCAAGGGTCCGCCGCGATGGCGAGCCGTCCACGTGGAGAGGGGCTGGGTCGGGCTGACACCTTCGATCTGGAGGTCCCAAAACCGGCTTCAAGGTCGAAACGGGTCGAAAAGCTTCTGGTTTATCAAGGGAGGTGAACTGAAGCCATGAAAAGACCTCATGGATGGCATGGTGGTGTAACATAGAATGTACGCATTGGCCTTCAGGTCTGCCTCGCTTTTCATTGATTCGGTGCTTCTACACCCCAGAGAGTTACTGGCGGACTGAAAGTTGACGCACGCAGGGCCATTGGGCCACCAAAAATGGCCAACGGAATGGACTCAAAAAGATGTTTTAAAAAAAAACCGAGGGACACAAAGCCAAACCACTCACTTCATGAATGTGAGTATGGCCATGTTAGCACGATGAATGACCGTGCTGCTGCCTTACGGCAGGCGTTTCGATGTGTCTGTGCTCTAGGCGCATCCTCCCCCCATTTGCTGTTCCAACTTCCTTGCGCAGCACCCGCGCCTTCAACTCACCACCTGCTTGCTGTGGCAACTCAGATAGGAAGCATTCGGACCTGGGGCGAAGTGTGAGAAAACAACACCAAACGCGAACTCATCGATGGGTCGCATGCATGTTGCTTTGTGACTTGCTTCGCACGTCTACCCTGTCTGAACACATGGTGAGGAAGAGCCAAACAAAGGGTGCTTACATCAGTACCACTCTGGGATTGGCGGCCAAACACGGCACCATGCTTCATGTTTCTGTTTTTTCCTCGCCCAAACTAGTTCGCCTCCTCCCCAAAATCGAGCAATAAAGAAACCAACATAGCAGGAAAAGGAGACCTTAGGCATGTCCCTCACGCACACGTGGCGCGCGGAAACTGAGCTCACAGCCAAGGCTTTCCAAACAAATGCCCCACCTGCCCAGATCCACGCAAAGGAACCACAGACATATGGAGATGGGCTGCAAAGGTGTAGATCAGAGAAGAACCCTCAGCTGTAGATTCGAACCCTCAGCCATGACCAATGTCTCCCATGTCTCTCCAAAAGTCGGCTCTCGACCTGTGCAGATCTCGAACAACAATTCAATAAAACTTGATTGAACCCTCGGCCATGGACATCGAAGCAGGGCTGCGTTCCTGCTTCTCCTGGACTCACAGGTCACAAGGACCAAGTGACAAGTCCAACGTCGGCCTCGTTCCACATATTCCTCCGAACGTCATCCCCATACAGCCTTATGGTTGCGTGTTTGTGCGTTGTTGTGATCCAAGCCTCTTCGATGTCACTTTTGCTTGGCTGTTTTCGGTCCAAGTCCTGTAACCAGCAAGCAGCCACCGAGCATCTACAAGCCAGCGAGCGAGTCAGAGCATCAAGCCGCGAGCCAAGTCCGAGAGGTCCATCAGCCATCTGTTCGTGTCTTTTCCTTCTTTGCTCCTAGTAGTAAGGCCAGGAGCTACTAGTAGCTTCTTGCTCCTAGTAGCGATGCCCTTTGTTACTAGTAGCGATGCCCGTGCTACTAGTAGCTTCTTGCTACTACATAGATCTGTGGCCTTCCCATCGGAAAAAGGTGCTCATACGGATGCGTCCAAAAGGGCGCGGCAACGCGCCAAAGTGCACCTGACGTTGAAAGAAACAAAGAAACCTCACGAAGTAGACCTGTCCATATTGGGGTTCCTGTCAGAACGACGAAACGACTGTGGACCTGTACGTTGAAGATCCGCCGGCAGGTGTCGTAGATGTGGCCTTGGTCATACATTTCCTCTCTTTCATTCTGTAAAAATATGGCTCTCCAGGAGCAGCGGGGAGATGAGGATTTGTTGATATAACTATTCGATTATATAACCCATCACCGGCAGAACTGGCTTTTTATGCGTGGGCTGCCCTAGAATGATGGCCTCCAAAGGGAGGCCGGTTGGTTCAAGAATACCCTAGAACAATGAAGGGATGTCCATTCTTGGCTTGGCCGAAAGTGGTGCACAAGCCCTCAACATCCAGCTCTCAAGAAACCTTGGACTCCGTGGACCGCATCAACAGGTCCTAAAGCATTATTCCAGCTGATGTTGACTCAGTTGATGAAACTCTCCTGTTAAGGGATGGTTTTAGTCCAGAGTCAGCATTTAAGCCGCGGTTGACAAGTTAAACCAAGTCATTGCATCTTTCAGGCGGTATCCGTCTTTCCACGGCCTCGGCAATTGATCTCATTGATTGGGATCCTCTTGGAAAGTTCTTCAATTTGGGGGAGGATTATGCCTGGTCATCTGTATCAACAGCAATTAACTAAACTACGGAAGTGTTTGATCCGATTCTTCATCAACCGGCGACATCATGTTTCCTGAAGTTGGTCAGCTGACTGGTTGGGCCAAGGCCGCATGGAGAGGTGCGGGACCCTTCAGCCAAGATGCGATCCGCTCCTGGAGAGGTGCCAAACGTCGGGGCAACACAGCGCAGATCGTGGGCGGGCCATCTCTCACTCGACAAACATCAATATATAAACATAGCAACACTGTAACACTTTCCTAACAATTGCTCTACCTACAGTAAGTTATACTGCCAAAGCAACCTCCGGCTACAGCCAGCCTTCCGCGCACAGAGCGAGAAATGCAAAAAAACGTTGCTGATAGGTTCCTCATAGACCATGATGCCATGTTCGAAGATTGTAAAATGTCATGCATCCCTGAACGTCGCTAGTGAACGCCCAACAGTGGAAATCAGGTCACTTCCTGGGTGCGTAAGTTATATCAATCTATCCCCCACCCCTAAGACGGGCTCCCCCGTCAAACAACCAAAAAGTAATGGCTTCGTGAACGAAACTGACCTGCT